AATCATATTAGGCTCAAAAGCTCACAATTTTTCCATTTGGTCACTATATTCACATATGAAACATTAAATCATGCTTTAGTTTCAAATCAATAAGGCTATGTGCATTCTTGTTTCAAGGATGATTGAACATGTACAAAACTAACAAGAGAAGGAAATTCACCTAAACATGCTTACTAATTTCTCAATCACCATGTTTCGAATTCAACCAATCACATCATTGGGTCAGGAAACTAACAAAAAATGTGACAACCCGTCCCTAATTTTACGATTTTATTAATTTTAAAAGAGTGACTAAACAAAAATGCCCCTAGAGGTAAGAATTTTGACTTCTGTTGATCATTGTTTAGAGAGACGTATGACTTATTCTTTAAGCGTATTTGTGTAGTACTCAATGATACGAATGCGTGGGCACAAGTGGAATCGAATTTGAAGTTACGATAGAGATTTTATGGACTTATGAACTTGAAGGGCAATTTGGTAATTTCCTTTTTAAAGATATTTTGTGGCTTGTTTTGTGAGCCATGTGGGGCCCACACCCCACTCTTTCCTTCTCTCATGTGTCTCCCAATTCCCAGAAATCCCCTTTTTTTCAACTCTCAACTCATTTGCTGCCACCTCATCTCTCCCTCATTTCACTCTCTCTCGTCTATCAACTCCGTTTCGTTTTTCTCTCTTTGTAAGTGCAGAGAAACTGCACCATACTACCCTAGCCATTCCGGCGAGCACCACCACCACGAACCTAGGCTAGTCATGAATCATCACCGATTGCCATGATTTCCTCTCCATCATCTTTCACCTCTCTTTCCCGCCCGTTCTCCTAATCTCTGCAGCTATGCAGACATTACCACGACGGAGCATTGTCGTCTTCTATCAAAACCATCGAAATTAGACCACTAGCCTCGAAGGGAGATTACCATCACCGTTATCCAGTCAGTTCAGTGCACCTTGGTTCGAGATGTGGCTGCACAGTGGCTTTGGCCACTGTTCATCGCCTTCTCTTGTGAAACTTCATTTTTCTGACAAAAGAGAACCTCGAAAACCCCAAGTTCTTCGTAGATCATGTTTTGTAGTATAATTAGGGTCACTTTGGGGGATTTTGGTGATGTTTGGACGCAAGAAACAACGTAGGGGAAGTTTCCTAGTTTTCTAGTGGAGATCCGGCAGCTTTAAGCCATTTTTCGGCCAACTCTGGCCACAACTTAGTCCCTTTTAGGTATATTTTGCATCTTTTGCCTTCCTAGCTTTAATTTGGCTTTTAAATGGAGAATTTTGGTTCAGATTCGAAGCTAAGCAGAGCTTGGGAAGTTTCTAGGCCAAACTACCGATGTTATTCTTCGTTTGTCCGACGGGTTCAACATGCGAGACAATGGGTCGACCCAACACGGTTAAAAAAAAAAAATCCAATAAACCCGGATTTGAATCCGAACCGAGGATCCAACCTAGCTCAGTTCCTAAATGGATTCCTAGAATGTTTTAGAATATTCTCTAGAATATTCCTTAGACTATTCCTTGCATTGACTTTTTTGAAAGTTTTCTCGAAAACCCTCCTAGGCTAATTTTGACACCTCGAGTCCATTTTTGACATCCATTTAGTGAAATTTCAAAGTTTTAACGTAGTTGACTGCCAGGGTGGATCGATTGACTTTTTACAATATTTACCCATGACCCTTCTTAGTGTATCTCGACACTCTAATTCCAAATCCGCACTCCATTTTCCCAATTTTAATCGTTTTAGTTGAGTTTTATTAATGGGTCCCAATATTATGCTTAGGTGAAATTACCATTGGAGATTCCGGCTTCCTAACTTGAACGGATGTGACATCACAAGTAACTGTGAGTGGGTCTTTTCTTTTATGTAGTGTGTGTGTGTGTATATATTTGTTAGTTTCCATTTATATATTTCATAAAGAATTTTCTACGATACGCCTAGATTAGCTTAACGTTTATAAGATTTAGCATGTCGATAGAAATTATGAAATTATGCTATGTCCTACGGGATGTACAAGTATGCGTATTATTATTGATGCCTTAATTATATTTATGGCCATGAATAGTATTATGGCAATATGAATTATCAACTTACCACTGCATGATTTTATTTACGTTATTTGCTCATTGTTGCTGCACCGGTGTTAGTATTTGCCCGGGCCAAGGCCAGTCTTTCACATATATGTTCACATCACACCGTACGCTCACTTTGGATCCATTGTAGGTGCTAGTCCTGTCCTATAATGTTATAGCAATTAGGAGTCGTAAGAAATGCGCATAGCGCCAGTCTTCACGTGATTGTAGTACTAGATCGTAAATCATTATTACACCCAATCAAGTTCATTTCAGATTACCTCTGCATGAACTCATGTGTTAGCATATGTCGATAAGCACTTGATATGATATGTTTATTTATACGAGATTATGTGATTATTGGACGTTAGGTGCTTATTACAAATTTTGTGACGCATTGAATTCTTGAGATATTGCAGGCTATGATAAGTATTTTCATACTATACGTCATATGTATATTTTGGAAACTATACTTGTTTTACAGCGAGGGGTTATAATGTTTTCAAAAAGGTTTTTATAAAACTTTATTTTTAGGCTCACTCACCCTTATATTTCGCCCCTCCAGGTTTTAGTGCTGAGCTTTCATGTCAACGAGGATTCTTGGCAAATCTTGGTATAGGTGGTTGCCTTCGGTGGTATAATTCTCATCCTACTTTACTGTACTTTACTTATGCTCTGATATCACGTGTGAAATGGGTTCATTCTCGCTCACAAGTGCACTCTTATATTTAGGCACTTTAGGTTTAAATTTATTTACATTTTCCTCATTACTACACTTTATGGCTTCGTCACCTCCTGGTGTCGGCTAGCATAACTCGATTCGTAGTCCATGTGAACATTTCGGGTCGGAGTGTGTCAAAAAACAAATTCAAAACAATAATAAAAAAACAAGAAAATGTTTTGAATTTTATGTCAATTTCTAATTTTTTTTCTTTTTAAATTTTCTAATTTTTATTGTTTTTTAAGTAGTAAGAACAAGACAAACTAAAGTAATAAAATGAAAGGACTCAAAATTGACAAAGCAACATAAAGACAACGCAATTCAAATCTTGTTAAAAGGTTTGAAAATTTTCAATTTTTTCTTTGTTTTTAAACCTCACCCCCAACTTAAAATTGACATTGTCCCTAATGTCTTTTAACATATGAAATAAAGAAATAAAATAAAATGAACGAGGAAAAACATTTGGACAAAGAAACTTCCTTGGTTTATGCACCACATGGTGGTCATTGTGTTCCCCAACAAGAAGTAACCCACAAACTTGATTCTACAATAAGCTCCAAGAGTGGACAACATCCAGTTCTCCTACAATAGAAAATAAAATAATACAGCATAACATGCAAGAAATTCAAGAAAGAAAAAAAAAAAAAACAAGAAACTAAAAGGAACATAGAAATATTAGGTTGCCTCCCAACAAGCGCTAAATTTATAGTCTTTAGCCGAACTACGAATGGGTTAAGCAGGATCAGTGATAAGAGGTGAAGAATTGGTGGCGTTGAAATTGACATCCCCATTCACCTTCTTGTTGTGAACATCGACTGTAAAACATTCTACATCACTTGAGCATTTAATAGCTTTAAAAACTTTAAACACCACATGCTTTCCTTGTATTCTCACTGTAACTAGGCCCTTTCGAACTTCAATTACAATATCCACAGTGGCCAAGAATGGCCTACTTAGGATGACTGGGATTTCACGACAAAATTTGCAAGGAGAATTAACTTGTCAACCCGCACCAATACATCTTCAAAAATTCCTCGTGGGTATGTGACAGATCGATCCATAAACAAACTAATGTTGGTTTTATCTCTCCCAAACCTAATTGTTTAAAGATAGAGAATGACATTAGATTAATACTTTCACCCAAATCACATAAATAATTATCAAAATGAGTATTTCTAATTGTGCAAGGAATACTAAAACTCCTTGGATCTTTCAACTTAGGTGGCAATTTCTTTTGTAGCACCGTACTACATTCTTTGGATACCATCACCGTCTCATGCTCAATGAACCTCCTCTTCTTGGTGCATATGTCTTTCAAAAATTTTGTATAACTTGAAATTTGTTTCATTGCATTTGCATCAAGCAAAGGAATGTTAATGTGAACTTTTTTGAAAAATATCAGAAAAGTGTTGATCTGTCTTAGCCTTTTGTAACCGTTGAGGATATGGAATAGGTGGAGAAATTTTTTTCTCATGTACTTGCTCTTCCTCTTACAGTTCAGTGATGCCATTTACCAACTTTTCAACCGGGTCCACTTTTCCTTCATCCTTTGTTCTACAACTTTCCACTCCGGAGTGTGATGGCCTTGACTTGCTCTTGATTCTTGTGATTGATCTTAGTTTGACTTGGAAACTTGTCATTCTCTCTCTCAACCATGGCATTGGCAATCTGACCAACCTGATCCTCTAGCTTGCGTATGGATGCTTGCTGATTTTGTAGAAAAGTTTGAGTTGCTTACATGAATATATTCGTGTTTTGATCGAGAATGTTGGTAGTTTGAGCACATTGAGCCATCATATCTTTCATTGGACTCTTTTTGGCTTCATTGTTCTGGAACAGTAAAGGTAGGTTTACTTGATTCTGCTAATTGTTCTTCCAACCAAAATTTGGATGATGACGCCAACCAGGATTATATTTATTTGAGAATGAATCAAACTGTTGGTGGTTGAAGTTGTTCACTTGATTGTCTTTCTTGAATAAACTCTAGAAAAGAATTGATTATGGGACACTCGATACTTGAATGTATACCTACACAAATTTCACAAACAACACCAAAAGATTTCACAGATTTGATAGTCATTAAGTTATCAAACTTTTTAATTAAACCGGAAATTTGTGCAGCCATAGCTGATGAACGGTCATAGCTTGAGACAGCGGTTGGATAAACCGGATCGATTTGTTGATGTATTTGAATGCTTGCATGTATTTAGGCAAATAGTGGAAATTATTAGTGTAGCACATTCGCAAGGGATTGTTGTTCATAATGTGCGACCTTCAAGTTTCGTCATGTCATCTTTCAACCACATCTCCTTTATCGAGTATGCATCTTGTTCGGATTCTGGCACTGATTCTCCCGAGGATGAGTTAAACAGCCCAACTGAAGAAATTAAGGATTTTCCCTCTCTCTTGCATCGTAATCTGCATCAGCAACGAAGGAACTTAGGAAGAGAAAATTTTCAGTCTATGACAACTCCAAATGCCTTGTCGGAAACGAGTTGCATGCAGTCGAGTTCAATCCATGCAGCACGCGAATCGTTGGTACAAGAGAGTGAAAATAGAATCAGAGACCGAAATGTTGAACTAGAAGATAAGAGACAACCGTTTCCAATGAAACAAATATTGCTTATGGAGACCAGTTGGTATACTAGTCCCGAAGAGGTTTCTGCTGGATCGAGTTCATGTGCTTCAGACATTTATCGGTTAGGGGTTCTTCTTTTTGAGGTTCGTAAATAAAAGCTTTCAATTGTTTATCTGTAGTATAAGTTAAATAAGATCTTCAGCATTCAGTTATCATTTTATGTAATGGTAAAAGTTGATTTTGTTCAGAGTTCTTTTGTTTTTGTTTTCGTGGACTAACGCGGTGGTGCTTGTGACCAGTTATTCTGTCCACTCAACTCAAGAGAAGAAAAGAGCAGAACAATGTCTAGTCTGAGACATCGAGTTCTTCCTCCTCAATTGCCGCTGAAATGGCCTAAAGAGGCTTCGTTTTGTTTATGGCTACTGCACCCCGAGCCAAATAGCCGGCCAAAAATGTGGTGAATACTCCTTACAAAATGGCCTTCCATCTCAGACGTTGATTTTTCTTTTCAAAAGCTACCATAAATAGTCTGAGACATCGAGTTTCATGGAAGTAATTGTTGTATATTTAAACTGCATTACATATATCTGTAATTCATTACGTCATGAAATACTCCATTTTATGCCATTTTCTATAATTTGGTCTTGTAGTTCATAAATCCTAGGGATCCTAGGGATCATGTGATCATGACCGTTCATTGTACATCATGCAGTCAGTTTTTGTTATGTACTATTTATATTTAATTTTAAATTTTGAAATGATTTCTGACCGCACGATGTACGATGCACAGTCACGATCACAGGATCCCTAGGATTCCTAGGAAAAGAATCCGACAAGGATCATTTTCCCATTATTAGATATTGGAAACTTCCTTAGAATTCTTTTTAGGGTAAATTAAATTTTGCCCCCTTAGGTTTCGGTGCAATTACAACCTCATACAACATCTTTAAAACATTTCAATCTCATACATTTAGTATTTTTTTTTTCATTTCAATTTCATACAACCGTTAAAAATCTGTTAAGTTAACCATTAAGTGATGACATGGCAAATATAGAGTCCCCATTTGCGCTGACATGGCTGTCATATTTGTGCCACATGGCTAAACACTTAATAAAAATTTTAAAATATTAAAATAATTAACTAAAGCAAAGTAAAAAAATAATAATAAAAATAAAAAGAAAATAAAAAACCCAAAATCCCCTTTGTCTTTGTAGAAACTGTATATTCAAAATTATATTATTTGAGGTATTACACTCTATATTTATACACAGACTATGAGATACCTTCCTAGTGTTACAATGAAACGGAAAAACAATTATATCCTGATAAATGCTAATAACAACATAACAGCTAAAACAATAATGAATTGTCCTTAAGGACCCTTAACTATGCTAACTCCCGTAACCCCCTAACACTCCCCCGCAAACTTGACTCCGGAGAGGTGACAAGTTTGGAAATAAGACGTGAAAACCGGTCAACTGGTAATCCTTTGGTGAAGACATCGGCAAGCTGAAACGTGGACGGGATAAATTGAACCTTGTGACTGCCAGAAGCGACTCGTTCACGGACAAAATGATAATCAATCCCAATGTGTTTGGTGCGAGCATGAAACACGGGATTAGCAGCTAAGTACGTGGTAGACAAGTTGTCACAATTGAGTAACACGGGACGAGTGAGCGGACAACAAAGTTCAGTTAAAAGATTTTGAATCCATATAGTATCAGCGCATGCATAGGCAAGGGCTCGATATTCAGCTTCGGCACTGGAACGAGAAACCGTTGGCTGTTTCTTGGCACTCCATGAGATGAGATTGGGTCCCAAAAATATACAGTAACCGGAGGTGGACCGCCGTGTATCAGGGCATCCTACCCAATCCGCATCGGAATAGGCAATTAGGAAAGAACAGTCAGGAGAACTACGAATAGGAAGACCAAAACCAAGAGTGCCTTTAAGGTAACGTAATATCCTCTTAACAGATTCAAAATTAACATCACTGGGAGATCCCATAAACTGAGCAACATGTTGAACCGCATATGAGATGTCGGGGCGGGTCATGGTAAGGTATTGGAGGGCACCAACAATGTGGCGATAAAGTGTAGGATCGGCAAGTTTAGTACCATCAGTATGAGAAAGTGTACCTTTCGAAGCCATGGGTGTGGAAACAGGTTTACAGTCCAAGAGATTGATGCGTTTGAGAAGATCAACTGTATATTTGTTTTGAGTAAGATGAACTGAATCCGTGTGATAATGAACCTCCACCCCAAGAAAATAATGCAAACGCCCCAAATCTTTGATGTCAAATTCCGCTCCCAAGGTGCTAATAAATGTCTGAATATGAGAAGAATCACTACCGGTGAGAATAATATCATCCACATACAATAATAAAATCAAAACACGAGAATTGTCTTGATAAACAAACATGGAGGTGTCAGCCCGACTTTGACAAAAGCCAAACTGTACAAGGAAAGAACTAAAACGTTGAAACCATGCCCGTGGAGCCTGCTTGAGACCGTAGATGGCCTTATGAAGTTTGCACACATGATGAGGACGATCTGGATCAACAAATCCCGGGGGTTGTCGCATGTAAACTTCTTCAGAAAGAGAGCCGTGCAAGAAGGCATTTTTGACATCAAGCTGTCGAATGGACCATTGAAAAGAAACAGCCAAACAAAGAACGGTGCGAATCGTTGTAGGCTTGACGACAGGGCTGAAAGTATCAAAATAATCAACGCCAGACTGTTGATGGAACCCTTTGGCAACGAGACGTGCCTTGTACCGTTCAAGTGTGCCATCAGATCGCCGCTTAATTTTGAAAACCCATTTGCAACCAACCGTATTGATTGATTGATAGGGAGGGATCAGGGAGAGGTGGGACAGACGGGATAGCTGTAGATGCGGGCAGGTTGACTGCAGGCGGGTCTGCTGCATATGGTTCAGTAGGAGGACAGCTGGAGGCATCGAGTGGCACGTGTGCTGTCGGGGCTTGCTGCAGTGGCATGGTGCTGTCGGTGCTTGTTTCAGGTGCTGGCGGTGCTTGCTGTTGTGGCACGGGCCGAGAGACATGTGGTGGGACAAATGGGGGAGAGGCTTGATTAGGCAACAAGCCTACGGAAACGACGGCAAGCGGTGGAGAGGAAACAGATAAAGGGGCAGCAGCATAATAAAACTGATCTTCATGAAATTTGACATGCCGTGAAATATAAAGGCGTCCAGTAGGGGGATGGAAGCACCGATACCCACGATGTTTATCACTGTAACCAACAAAAACACACTGGAGAGAACGAGGTTGTAATTTGTTAGACACATAATCTCCAAGATAGGGATAACACAAGCACCCAAATATGCGAAACATTTTATAATCTGGGGAATGACCAAATAAGGATTGATAAGGTGAGATTCCATGAAGAACAGGTGTAGGAAGGTGATTAATTAAATAAACTGCCGTACAAAAAGATTCAGCCCATAAGGTGTGAGGCATGTGAGCAGTATGTAAAAGAGTACGACCCATATCAGCAATATGGCAATGTTTACGCTCAGCCAATCCATTTTGCTGAGGTGTATGAGGACAAGAAAAACGATGCACAATTCCATTAGTAGCACAAAAATGTTTAAACTGCAAGTTGTCATATTCCTTACCCCCATCACTCTGGAACTGTTTAATAGACAAAGAGAATTGATTTTGGACATAAATAACAAAAGCAGAAAAATGATCGAAGACTTCGGACTTCAAACGCATGGGAAAAATCCACGAATAGCGAGTGGAATCATCAGTAAACAAGACATAATATCGATAACCAGAGACGGAAAGAACATGAGACATCCACACATCAGAATGTATTAAATCAAATGGTGCAAGGGAACGATGTTCATGAGGTGAAAAGGAAAGTTTTATTGATTTAGATAAGGCACAATGGCTACAATTTGAATGCAATAAACGAGAAGGAGAACCTAACAATGACTTAGAAACTAGTGAATCAAGCACTCTGTTGGAAGGATGACCAAGACGACGATGCCAAAGAGACGAAGACACGGCAACAGAAGAGAGAGCGGTCTTGGGCCCAGTCAAGAGTGTAGGAAAGATGGGATAAAGACCATCTTTACATAGGCCCTGAAATAGAAGAACGCCAGTTTGTAAGTCACGAATGTGATAACCTCAAGGAAAGAAAGTAATACTTACATGCATATCATTTGTGAACTGAGCCACTGATAAAAGATGTTTATGAAGAGAGGGAACACGAAGAACATCAGAGAGTCGAAAAACATAAGTGCCAGAAGAAAACAAAACATTACCAGACTGAGTGATGGGGAGGGTGTCACCATTACCAATAACAACATTGTCAGTTGGTGTATAGGAGGCACCGGGGGGAAACAACTTAGCATCATGTGTCATGTGATTGGTAGCACCGGAGTCCCAATACCAGTTAGGATCGGAAGAGGAAGTAACATGCATGCCAGCAAAGGGACGAGAGTGAGGGCACTTGGCTTGAACATGTCCAAATTGATGGCAATGCCAACATTGGACCGGCGGACGAGGTGGTGGAGGACCCAGAAGTCTTGGAGCATTGAAGGCAAGTCGCTGTGGACGGTAGAAGTTTTGTGCAGGCCCATTAAAGGGACGGATGGGTGGCCTTTGGGCAGAGGGATCACGAGCACGGAAATGGCGCGGGCCACGTGGTGGACGTGTTGCTAGCATGACAGCATGGGAATTTGTAGGAGTGAGGTGGGCGGCAAAAGCTTGTTGCCCCTCAAAAGCAAGCAGTTTGGTGCGGAGGTCCGAAAAAGGTGGAAGTGGTGGAAAGTTCAGAAGAGCCGTCACAAGCATCTGGTAATCAGGGCCCAGACCACGGAGTACATAAGTAACCAAGTCAGAATTGGACACAGGCTCTTGGATAACAGTGAGTTCATCAGCCAAACTTTTGGCCTGAGCAAGGTAGTCAGAAATAGTTTTGGAGCCTTTGGTGAGAGAGAAGAGACGAAATTTTAGTTGGGCAGCATTGGCTAATGATTGCTGCGAGAAATTTTGCTGGAGACAATCCCATATATCTTTCGAGGTGGAGAACCCAATGACTTGAGGAAGAACAGTTTCAGATAGTGTGGCACGAAGAATACTAATAAGGCTTTGATCGGTTTGGAACCAAGATGTGTATTCAGGATTGGGTGATGGAGAAGGAGTAGTTTTGTCATCGCTTGAAGAAGGGGACAAAGTAGAGGGAGGACAGGGATAAGATCCATCAACAAAGCGCCAAAGATTCTGGCCTAGCAAGAAAGGTTTGACTTGGCTTTCCCACACAAGATAATTGGTATCAGAAAGTTTGACAGAGACAAGATGAGAGATATTAGGATTAGAGATAGGGGAGAAGGCTGAAGAAGACGCACTACCTGAAGCCATTTCAAAAAAAAAAAAAAACTTCAGGCTCTTGATACCATGTAGAAACTGTATATTCAAAATTATATTATTTGAGGTATTACACTCTATATTTATACACAGACTATGAGATACCTTCCTAGTGTTACAATGAAACGGAAAAACAATTATATCCTGATAAATGCTAATAACAACATAACAGCTAAAACCATAATGAATTGTCCTTAAGAACCCTTAACTATGCTAACTCCCGTAACCCCCTAACAGTCTTCATCACCCCCTTCTCCA